AGGCAGGGCCCGTCGAAGGCAGAGGAGGCGGGGCCCGGGGACGGAACAGGAGGCAGGGCCCGGGGACGGAACAGGAGTTGGGGCCCGGCGACCACAGAGGCGCTGACAGGTAAGAGATCTCTGACCCTGCAGAGCCCACCATAGAGAGTCTATGGTGGGCTCTGCAGGGTCACTCTCCGCTGGGGCTCTGCAAGGGGCATAACTAGCAATCACGGGCCCCATACAAGATTTTGCTATGGGGCCCTGTGATTTCTAATTATGCCCCTGAGGTCAAGTATTGTGGTTTTAGGGGATAAGAGTCTGGTATTATCTGCTACCCAGACCAGTCCCCTCCACAGCAGAGGCACTGACTGGCTGTTCGACTTAGGGCAGTGTTCTTGGTTAGTTACATGCAGTGATTTTAGTTTGATTTAAGTGTTGAAAGCTCTACACCAAAAACTAACTTGTAGTCGACAGGCTGCCCTTTGCAAAAGGTTCAGAGAGTTAAACAGAAGTCACCAAAACTTCCTAAATACTCAACAATGGAATAATGAAAAAGAGAGGTGCCTCATAAGTGATGGGATTTGCATACAGAAAAAATAAATAAATCACAGAAGTGTTTTCATAAAATGATTTATGAGATTTCAATTTGATTATCTTCAGCAGTGTCAGCCAGCCTGAGATTACAGTGGAAATTTCCACTCATTGTTCTGTGAGATCAGACTCTGAAATGAGGCCACATCCTGTGCTGCTCCATAACAGGGCAGTATGTAAACAAACTAGTATGCCTGTCCCTAATGGAGCTCCACATGATGCTCATATGTATTACTTTTCAATGGGAACAGAAACATGCTAAAGCTTTGTATAAGCGGAATGAATTTCGTCCAATTCTTAGTGAACCATCCATAATTCGCACAGTGAGTTACCCTCTCTGCAGGCTCCCGCCCAACACCCTTCGAGTGAAAAATCTAAGAAACCAGGGGGAAAATTGTCAGCCAAACAGCACCTGCATCCAATCAGATGCAGGCAGTAAGTAGGTATTCTGACAGCCTGAAATGCTGACTGCCAAAATACAAATGGTAGATTCCTCCATCCATGCAGTTTATCATGGGTAGACGAATCTGTGATTTTTTTTTCTTCAGCCAGGAAGTTGAATGGAAAACATCTCACAATGTATATCCAGCTTTAGACTGCACGTTTCTGTGTTTTGGATCTCAAAAAGGATACTGCATTGATGTTCTCAGACTATTCTTTCAAACAGAGGGTTCAAAACAAGAGTCCCACCAACCAACCTTAAAGCAAACTCATATTACATTGCACAGTAAACATACAGTACACTTACAAATCCAAAGGCATAAACCAGCCACTGGTGATAAGTGCACTTGTTCACTACACAGCATATGAGATATGAGCGAGTGCATTGTATTACTATGGGATGGTAGCTAATCGACATGTAAGCTGGAAAAAATTTGGTTCGTTTTGTTTTGGTTCGTTTCGGATTTTTGGCATTCGGATTCAGACAAATCCAAATTCTCTTTAATTTCAGTCCGCAGAAGCATGGGGTCCCCCCCCCCCCATTACATACCAGAGCCTATAGGTCTGGTAGGAATGTTAGGGGGGACCCAGATGTAAAGCAAGAAAAAATATATATACCATTTGGGCCTGGGAGCCGAGGCACCATAATACAACTCGGTTGGCTGAGGCTCCCAGATCCGAATGGCATTCGGGAGCTCCCAAATGACATTTGGAAAGACTTTGTTATATGACAGTCAGCTGGTCCAGAATATCAACAAATGGGTGGAACAAGCCCCATGACATAACTCACTCCGCCCCATTTTTTTACATTCGGGCCAGAGCTGTCATTTTGCGGCGAGTGTCTTTTATCGTGAGTGACATGGACCTACATCGCTGGACGACGTGATTGACGTTGGATTACATTGTTGTATCAAAAACTGGTTTTGGGACTTGTTTTAGTTCAATTAAAGGATTTTTTCAAAAGTCTCGTGTGTTTATTTACATTTAATTTACCCTTTAGTGAATGGTGTGGGGTAACAACTACCCCCTTACTCATTCACAAGAGGGGGGGGCATTGGACCTGCCCGCAGGCACCCACAACCACCAGGCCAAGAAGTCCTTGTCCTCGTCACCATTGGTGACATTTCCAGGGGGTTCCCCTGGAAAGCACCCTCCCCCTTTCGAGGGCATTTGGCCAGGTATGGCGCGTGGGGGGGGGTGGAGGGGGGGTTGGCAG